TGTTCCCTTTAACAGGAAAGTACCGAAGAATCTCTTGGGAGCATAACCTGTACCTCATAACCTCTGCTCTTCGAACTGTCAAATTTAAGTATTTTCAGCTGACTTAAATTAATTGATATATTTACATTCTTTCGAAATGTAAACATGGAAAATTTGGAAGCCCATGGGGCGTAGCCCAAGTGTAATATGAAAATTAAATGATATAATATTGCATTGTCATCCATTTGTGAGCTATGTTTCAAATTTCAAGTCTCTAGCTCATCAGGAACTTCGTTTAAAATTGATATCAAAATTTGTAGGAAAGCGAGCCAATAAAACAAGCCCATGGGGCGTAGCCCAAGGGAATTGTGAACATTTAATGATATAATATTGCATTGTCATCCATTTGTGAGCTATGTTTCAAGTTTCAAGTCTCTAGCTCATCGGGAAGTATCAAAATTTGCAAGAAAGCGAGTTAATAAAAACAAGCCCATGGGGCGTAGCCCAAGGAAATATAAAAATTAAATTATATGATACTGCATTGTCTTCCATTTGTGAGCTATGTTTCAAATTTCAAGTCTCTAGCTCATCAGGAACTTCGTTTAAAATTGATATCAAAATTTGTAGGAAAGCGAGCCAATAAAACAAGCCCATGGGGCGTAGCCCAAGGGAATTGTGAACATTTAATGATATAATATTGCATTGTCATCCATTTGTGAGCTATGTTTTAAGTTTCAAGTCTCTAGCTCCTCGGGAAGTATCAAAATTTGCAAGAAAGCGAGTTAATAAAAATAAGCCCAAGGAAATATGAAAATTAAATTATATGATACTGCATTGTCTTCCATTTGTGAGCTATGTTTCAAGTTTCAAGTCTCTAGCTTATCGGGAAGTTAGTATAAAATTGATTGCAAAATTTGTACCGTACAAGAAAGCGAGCTAATAAAAACGTTTTAATAATGTCGATCCTTGCGATTGCTACAATCGCTTATAACTGTTCACAACAGCTGATTTTTACTTCAGTTCAACTTACCGTTCTGGTTTACTTTACTCATCTTATGTCTCAATAGCATGTCAATACAGTAGTTAATTAGTAAGGCATGCGCAATTGCGATTGAGATTACGACTACGAGAAGTATTAATTCTATAGTTCGGCCGCTTAGAAAGCGACCTCCTCTAGCATTGGTTTAGCATTAGCACGCAGGTCGTTTTCTATGCGGCCGAACTATAATCCTAAATCCCTCACTCTCACTGACCCATTAATTAATCATTGGCTTAATCAGACAACGGCGATTACTCTGGATTACTCCGCTAATGCTACTAACTAGCCAAGCTCATTACACGTGTCAGAAGTCAGACGGTGTTAAGTGCTTTTTGTTTTAAATCGTCTGTAGCGATGACTAAAGACTTTGGTGTTAGGCCTAATACTGGTTTCTGAGGATTGGGAAGCCCAAGTTATATTTCCATTGCATCGATTCTTAGATAAACTTCGCTAATCACATTTTGCAGTCATAATCTTTATAAAACCCCAAAAATCTCAAAATCTTATATAGGTAACCCAATATTTCTATATACAGTACTTACTTAATACATTAAAGGGTTTCCCTGTTACATCCCTTTTTCAGACGCCCTACTTAGCCAATTTTCATGATTTACGTGTCTATCAAACCCATATGATCTAGCGCACCTGCGAATGGCGATAAAAAAAGTTATTTCCTTCAGGTCTTCGCTCTCCCCACGTGTTTAATTTAGTTCTAGAGTATATTTTCAAAGATCCAGTTATGCTAACCAACATTTCTTTATTACGAGTTAAATGTGAATTGTAATTTAACAGCTGTTTCTTCAGTTGAATCTCAGAGTAAATAGGTTGAATGTTTAATCACAGTCAACAGTTTATGTAGGTACCTAAATGTATTTTAAATAGGCTACTTTTTTACAACTGTGACCTGAATGAGGAAGGTAAATCACTCTTTATAGTGTAGATCTGAAATAAACAAATTTACTGTAAATTAGAAGTTCTATTCACCTAATTAACTACTGTCAAACAAACATAAACTTGAAACGGTAAATGGGTATCGCACTGGATTAATTTTGCCTCGGGGACAATTTATTTTACCCCTTCGTAACCGTTATAATACTCCAATAAGCTCAACATCTTATTTGTGCAACACAATCGACTATATATTCCACTTAAGTCTTATAAAAGTCGTCACTTCCTATCTGCTTGAATTGGCATGCCTACTAGAATACCAATATTATCTTAGATTAATCAAACTCTTTAAAAAATATCATCCTATAACAATCAGCCGAACTGTCTAGTTTATGTAGTGAGCATTTAGACCAACTGTTATGTTTATTTCTAGTTACTTATATTGAAAATACATTAAACAAACTAAAAAGTTATTTGAGCTTGTTCTCTGGAATTGTAACCAAACAGTTAAACTTAATTTGTGCATACGGTGCATACTGTCAAAGAAAGAAATATTTATTCGTCATCAGCTCACTCCTACGTCACCATCATGAAACGCATAAACGATATGCTTTGGATGATACAATGGGATATGCAATGTACTAGTACTTGCACTACTCGTAACTCGACGTCAATGATAGTGGTATAGGGTGGACCAAAAAAACAGGGACAATTTTAAAATGTTATTACTCAGCTGTTATAAAGGCTGGAGAGTTCATTTATGCGGCAAAAGAAAGTTGATTTGGTGCCATTTAGTGTATACTAGTGTAGTTGGCTGATTACTATGGATCCTAAATGGTTACCGCATCATTGTGCCTTTGTCATAGTTTTTTAAAGAATAATTTGACTTTCATTTCTACTCAACGTCAATTTCGTGTTCACATGGTGCAACCCCAAACCGAATAAACTACTCAAAGATGGTTAAACAATGTCCTAAACATGGCTTTTGTACTCAAAATTAAACCTATGCAAATTTAAATTTCAATGCAATGTTTTGCAAACGGTTGGCTTTGGACGCTCGACGCAGGACACTCGCGCGAACCATTTCAATGTTTTCCGGCGTTCGAACAGTCCGAGGTATCCCACTAGGGTTGACTTTGAGTGCAGAAGACGTGTTCTGGAAATTACTTACCCAACTTTAAATAGTTTTTCGCTTTGGGGTTGCACCATTACGGCCAATGTTGAAGTGAAAACGAAATTGACGTTGAGTAGAAATGAAAGTGGAATTATTCTTCAAAAAAGTCTCCATGACAAAGGCGCGATGTTGCGGTAACCATTGATGATCCATAGTAACTATACACTAAATGGCATCAAACAAACTTTCTTTTGTCGCATCAATGAACTCTCCAGCCTTTATAACAGCTGAGTAATAACATTTTAAAATTGTCCCTGTTTTTTTGGCCCACCCTTTATTATGCATCAACTCGCTATTTACAAGCCAATGACGCATCACGTGACAACTTAGCACCAAGGACCACGATTAACCGCTAAACCTTTTAAGCTGCTAATTTTTGGCTCACACAGGGCTAGTTTACTTAATGACAATAAATGTTATACCTATATAAATGGCATTGTCTGATCGAGCCTTGAATTCTCCAACATCCCGACTACCTAAGAAGGCCGAGATTTGGTTAACTCATTATTCAGGTTAAAATGGGAAGTTCAAATAGTTTTCATAGTGACTTTACCAAAGGATTAAAGGGTTGCGGCCTAAAAGCCCTTACAGTTGTAATGTTATTCATATGGAGATTCAGAATGAGCTATTTATTAATACCATCGGTTTGAAATTTTGTAATTTAAAGGTTACTGTCATCATACTAGGTGTCCGCGCATTTCTCGCAGACGGACAGTCTTCATGAATTTTTAATGTATATTTAAGATTGTTACTGTAATAGTTAGTTTCAGTAAATTTGACTTGTCGCATGTATATTGTTGATCTAGCTGAATAAATGAGTTATTAATATACCATCCGTTTTGAAAAGAGGTCGTTGTTATTTTCTCATCGAGATTGAAATATTATAGTAGGCTATTGTATATCAGTAAACTTTTAAAATTGAAAGTATTCGATTCCCTACTTCTTACTTAACCATTAATCCAATTTGCATACCGTCTGACTTCACTATTTAACCTGAGAACACTGTGCATAAAGTAAAACCAAACGTTAACAAAACATATTGTCCATAATATAAAATCTTTCTTACTCGTATGACAAGATAATCGAATTTTTGATTGAAACATAATGATAAATGAACTAAGAAACAAGAAAAGCAATGTTGACATTGTAGCGTAGCCATGTCACTATTATCATCAAATTACAGTGCTGACCACTTGATTTCTTTACCCAAAGGTCCCGTTGCAGTAATTAAGTAACTTATCTAACATATCAGAGTGTTATGAGCCCCCGTAGGAGCTGCCAAAAATTGCCGATGTGGGCGATATTTCACGCCCCCATGGCGGGGTATTGGTAAAAGTTTTCAATTAGCAATAATCGCACCTCAGTTAAACCTCATTGGTTACGATATTGCCACTGCGCAAAGTTGATAGGTGGTGGGATGCTAGAGAGACCCAACCAAATTTAGACCCTTATTACCTAGCGAGTGCTAAATGATAAAATATAACTTTTTTCATAACCACAATCTGCAATCCAACAGAATTTTTTTTATTCATGAACATTTTATTTGATCTTGTTAATAAAACCTCTATAACAGTCTGTTACAGATCAAAATAGTTATTAAATTCTAATAATACTGTTATCCAAGTACAATTTTTATTAAGGAAACAGCGAGCGCTTCCCTGCGGACTGATTCTGCACTACATGAGATGGACACGTAGCTCTAGTTAACACTGCTGCTGCTAGGCGCGCTAGCGCTCATCTTTCACTTTCACAACACAATTCGGAATTCGAATCGAATTGGATTGGAATTCACTATTCACAATTAACATTTCACTTTCACTTTCATCTTTCATCCATCATTTCATGAACCCGGAGGCCGGAACCCATTCCCGGTTCCCGTTGTCTGATTTTGTTTTTACTTTGATTCTAAAACAAATATTATTATTAGCTTGGAAACTTGACATTAACTAACGACGATTTTGTTTTGACTAATCTACTTACTTGGTTAGGCCTACACATAGCCTATACAATCGTTCTCGTTGAATAATTTGTATAGTAACTTGCCTTTCTCTAACCTCTCTAACCTAAAGTTTTATGATTATTCGCCAATTTCCGGCTTTTAGCTCATTATTTAAAAGATCCTTTAAAATGCCTCAAGCAATTGATCTTAGTTCATTGGAAGATAATGTAAAAACAGGCGAGAACATCATCAATGGGTTAAAAGAAGAGGTAAGTAAAGTAAAAATAGGCCTAGCCTAAGCCTAGTTAAGTAGAGGGCTTCCATATAAGTGCTTCCAGCTTAAGTGCTGTAATAACATATTGTGTGACAGACAATATGGTTTTAGACGCAACAAATCAACAAAATTGGCACTCATTGATTTCATCAACAGCAGTATAGACGCAATGGAGGCTGGAGAGACGGTAGTTGGTTGTTTTGCTGATCTCTCCAAAGCCTTCGATTGTGTCGAACCTGCGATTCTATTGGAAAAATTGGCATCAATTGGAATCTCAGGACTTGCGCTGAAGTGGCTCACATCCTATATGAGCAACCGATTCCAAGTCACTGAGATTCAAAAAAACTCAAATTCAAAAACTGAAAGAATTTCATCAACAAAAAAATTGATCTCCAATGGCGTCCCCCAGGGATCTGTCCTTGGACCTCTCCTTTTCTTGTTCTACATCAACAACATCACAGATACTGTTCCGCAGGACAGCGTCTACCTCTTTGCGGATGATACAACGTTGTTCGTAAGGGGAACTGACGACGCGGCCCTGGAGGCAGAATCTAATCAAAGAGCAAATGATTTGGCTGACTTTTTTTCCTCAAACAAACTCAAATTAAATTCACAAAAAACAGGATACATGTGTATCCAAACTGCAAAAAGACAAAATTCAAAAAATAATAGGACTCCGAACCTATTAATTGGAGAGGATCAAATTCAAATTTCAAAAACTGCCGACTTTTTGGGGGTGAGATTGGACGATAAATTGGGCTGGGATGCACAAATAAAAAAACTGGAGGGGTCTATGGCTCGAGGGGTCTTTGTACTTCGAAGAATAAGAACCTTCGGAAACCTGGCTCTCTCTAAACTTGTGTATTTTGGCCTAATAGAACAGCACATTTTGTATTCAATCATTCTATGGGGAGCTGTTAAGAAGAATATTGACCAGATCTTTGTTTGGCAGAATATGGCAGTAAGAGCAATCTTGGGCATGCCGCCTCGGACCAGCTGCAAAAATGTTTATAAAGAACTTGGCTTTCTCACAGTCCCTTCACTTTATATCTATGAATCAGTTTGCTATATAAAATCACAGAACATTAAACCAACTTTTACAAATCACACTTACAACACACGAACAAAGGGCACACATGCAGTCCAACATAAACTCACAAAATTTGAACACAAACCAGATTACATGGGAATGAAATTGTACCAGGCCCTACCGAAAAAATTACTTGAAATTCAGAGCTTAGCAAAATTTAAATCAGAATTAAAAAAATATCTAGTAGAGTTAAGTTTAGAGGACATAGACAGTTACCTAGACGGTGAAAAAAATTAGTATTAAGCTGGTTATTCTTTGTATTAACCCTGACCTGTCCAATTCCTTAAGGCAAAGGACTACGGACGGAGAGATCATGTATCATGTATGTATGTATGTATGTAAATATTTGTTTCTATGACAACGACAACACATAACCTAGCCTAGACATAGCATGAGAAAACTAAAGTTTGTAAGTTAACTCTGCAGCCTACAAAACGACCCCGTTCATAACTAATGACCCGAGCTTGCATTAAAATTTACGCAGAGGATAAGTTTTACGTGTCTGTTAACCAGATGTGGATTAAGTGTCCGGCAGTTACTGTCATAACCTAACCTAACCAACCGAACTTGCTGATAAGTAGGGTAAGTTAATGAAAAAATTGAATGAAGGTTAAATTCTGTTCATAAAATTTTAAGTTATCTTAAATGCCAAAAATTCTAACTAAAGATGTACAGTTAAGAAATGGCATTCAAAGCAAAATCTTTGACATAAAATGAGGTTACTAACCTGTCGTCAATCAATCCTCTATTGTCTTGGATGACTAGTTTCGGGGTTAAAACCCCATTTTCAAATCTCTTCAGTCTTCAAAAGTCAAACATATTTTCTTGCATAAGCCGTCGTCAAAATTACTTCACACATACACATAAACACACACGAAAACATTTATATTTACAAATCATGTACATGCGCGTGAGGCCGGCCAAGTAACTTAAAGATTAAAAACAAACACGGACAAAAAGTTAAAAGATACCAATGGGATTCGAACCAGGGACCTCTTGCATAATCAGTCTAGCATACTATCCACTAAGTTACACCACGAACACTGATGGCTGTAGGCCTTAACGTATCGTGGTAATGGCGTTCCGGGCCCCCACAACCCGATGACGTCACTGCTGGACGCCCAATCCACGTCCGGTTAACGGACGTGTATCCTCTGTGTAAAATTTACCTTGAGCTCTACACTTTCATGCTAGGGATGAGCATCTATAGGTCAACCATCGATGTACCGTACTGATAACAACGTCGTGGAGACATCAATGGATCAATGTCTTCGGGACTAAAACATCGATGTTGTTTTTCGACCGCTCTACGTACTGCAACAACTAATCAACTTAAAACTAATACTATTTAGTCATGGAAAACATTGATATTTCAATAAGTTAACTTAAGCCCCGTTCACACGGGGCGAGTTTACAAGCTACACTCCGGCTTTTTTACACGCAGCTAGTAAAATAGCTCAGTGTGAACGACGTACTCGCTCAAAAGCTGCTTGTAAAAAAGCTCTGGAAAAAGTTGACGCTGCTACTTTACATGCCAACTCGCCAGCTTTTGAGCGAGTAGGCGTGTAAAGTAGCCCAGTGTGAAGTAGCCCACAGTTGCTTGTGCTGGTGCGCTTGTTACTCAAAGATGTTGGAGGATTTGGTTCAAGCCAGCTACTGAGCGAGTGGAAAAAGCATCGTGTGAACGACTACAAGCGCACTCGCCGACTCGCCGGCGTCTTTCTACACGTCTGCGAGTTGGCGAGTGGACAAGCTCCGTGCGAACAAACACAAGCACACTCGCCAACTCACCGGCTTCTTACACGCCGCGAGAACGAGGCTTTACTTAGCTAAAACATTGATGTTCCAAAATCATCATTTATTGATGCTAATCCCTACCTAATTTAACTTAATTAAAATCAGACTGATATTATTCAAGTTATCATTTTTACGAACACACACATAATAAATAGGTAGGTATGTTATAGGCCTACATATTAGGCCTAACATCATAAGTTTACTGTATACAATATATTATTGGCCTATTTATAAATTCAAACGATAATAGTGTTTTGGCCTCAGGGGCATTAAGTTAAAATGGAAAAGTAAATCTTTCCCTACAAAAATAAACTTACGTCCAGGCCTATGCCTGAAAGTGTCAATAATTGTAGATAGGCCTAAACTTATTGTTTAAACTGTAGGCTACATGTTTCAAGCTTCAATACACGTCTCGTCTTCAGTAGCATTCTTGTATATCAAATTTATCAATTCGAGAGATGATTGTCTCGAGTAGCCTGTGGTATTTACAGGAAACACACCCCACATATAGAAATAAACATTGAACATTTTAGCTTGCTAGTATTTACATGTGTTTGCGTAGCGTACGGTCAATTAAAAACTTAGGTAAATCTCGACCGGACGACATTTGTAGGCCTACTCAGATTTTTGTTGAGATTTACCTAATCAAGCGTATATGCTAACTTATGCAAATGCTAACTTGTGTAGGCTTATATACTAGCAAGCTAATAACGTTAAATGTTTAAGTACTTAACTACTACATTATATATTTCTCTATTCACTTATATACTCTATATGTGTCTGTGTGTTTCCTGTAAGTAGTTGACAATCATCTCTCGATGTGATAAATTTTACATAGGCCTACAAGAATGCTGCTGAAGTTTGTATTGAAGCTCAAAACATGTACAGCATGAATAATATCTACAATTATTGACACCTTCTGCCACACGTATGTAGATTATTGTTACAAAATATTAAAGGTGTCGAGGCTGATCAATTTGAAATTAAATATTTTCTGTGGTAGGTCTTTCAATGGCTCTTTCCACTTATGATAGCCTATCTTAATTGTTGGGTTTCACATTAGGTTCTTTCCCCATAAGTTAGGTTACCGTAATTTACTATAAACCTTCTTTTTAAATTACAGATAAAGAGTTTGATGTCAGCCATAAACAAGAAGCAAGAAGACAGCAAGATAAAGTTCATCCGAGAAGAAAACAAAAAACTTCAAAGTGAAATCAACATTGTTAAAAGGGAGTTAATTAGGCTTCAGGTTGCTAATGGGGTTCCTCAGGTAGGCCTATCCATTGCAAGTATTGTACCTAACAAAAGAATCGAATACCACTCTTTTCATATACAGTAAGAACTTGATATTTCAAAAGCAAAGGGGGGGGGGGGGTAAAATTTCAAGTTTTTGAGTACTGTAAGCGGGGTTAAAGTTATCAAGGCCGTTATATTGTAAATTTGAGATACTAAGGCGTTGAATTCTGACAATGATTCTACACCATGACCTTCATAACTTGACTTTTAGAAGCTAAACCTTTATAACTCGAGCTTAAACTATTTCTACATACTGAAGGGTGACTGTAAAAAGGATCAAACAATTTACTGTGAATATACAGTAGCCTATAAAATTTGTTATACAGCAATGGTTATTTAGGATAAACGCAAGTCTAACTTTTTGTACTTTGTAAACCAAGTGAAAAACAAAAATAAGTTCAGAAAAAGAACATTAATTCAATTATAAACAGTTTCTGGTTTGCTTTATGTCCATTGATTTATCTTTTCTATTTCTGCCGTATAATTTATTTGTGAAGATTAATTATCAAATGTTTTTAATACCATTGTTAATATAATGAAGCAAATGGTAAATAAAGCAACTATTGAAATGTTGTACTGAAAACTGACTATTTTTGTTTGACTTAGCCTAAATAATTGACAATGATATAATATATTTACATAACACTAGTGTAAGTTGTTTATCATATTATGTGGCAATAACTGTTAATGTAATTTAGGTTAAACCTTGAGTCAGAATTCCGGGCGGAACAACCAACCTGTTAACTCAGCGCTTTCACATCTCTTCAGTTTTAACAATCCAACTTCAGCTGCAAACTTTTCTATGATTATGCCAACATCCCTTAACCCTTTGAGTGCCACACAACGATATATCGTTGTCGGTAGTCTAACCGAAAAATACATTGCAACGAAATATCGGGCTGGCACGACTTTCAATCATGTGAGTTTTAATGGGCATATCGGTTGAGTCGTTTGTTATTATAAAACAACTATGATTTCAATCAATTTCTCATACAATCGAGGCACGATATATCGTTCCATGGCACTTTTGGGATGAAAGTTTATACTTTTACCGATTTTTATTCTTGCGCACTACGCTTCACCCCCACGTAAAGCTTGGCCCTTTCAGACATACCTAGTAAAAAAAACTGGCACTTTTCGGAAAGTACCAAAATAAATTTCTGGCATCCAAAGTGTTAAGCCAGGTTTTCCTAGATGTGGAAGAGGAGGGCGGAGAGTGGAGAAGCGATTAACATGGCGTTACACTCTGCTTCTAGGAAAACAGTAACATTAATTTACCTAAGACAAAAGGAGTTTGCTTTTCGCGTTCCTCTCTCTCCGCACTCTCTACCGCAGCCAGGCTACACCAAGCAAAACATCATAAACATTGTGGGAATGTTTACAACCACCATCAAGTTCCCTCCATCCCTTTTTCTACTATCAAACGTTTTTCTTCATTCAAGTTCGTCAACTAGCGACTATAATAACGGTTGAAGCTTCACATAGGGACTACAGAAATCCAATCACAGATGTAACAATAATTTACCCACACTTCTCATTGTTTTTAATACTAATGACAAAACTTGTTGCATAGGACTGTGAATTGTGATCTGCCTAGAATAGTAGTGGATGAAGTAAAGGGCACAGCATTGGGTTCAGATTTGAATTTGGTCTTTCAATGGAGACCTTAACTTACGAACAAGCATTGTAGGCCCATGTGTGTAGTCATTGCTGTCCTTAATGTCTAACACAAAAACTTAATAATAGATAGCGGCCTGTTTTTACCTGAATTTGTTAAACCATTTATTTATTGCCTTTTCCGTAGAAGCTGCTGTCCAACATCGGTTCATTTATTCCCGCAGCTCCCACCACTGAGGAACTTGCAACATTTTTAGCCTTTGTTTGGTCTTTGTAAAATCTTCTGAACATTGTCGAAATGTTGACCTCTGGATATTCAAATAATTGAACCTAAATGAGAAATATATCTAGGCTACATTTCTGTCTATAATTTTAAGATTTTTCTATGGGTTAATATTCTCAAATAAAAATTTTCTGTGATTTAGCTGTTTTTATTACCCTGTGATTTGATTGCTATGTAAACAATCTTATTACTCCTTTCTGCCTAGTTTTTTACTATTATCAACTTATATTGTTTACTGTTTTTATCCATAGATTCCGATTCCAGGGGAGGACGGGGGAGCAATCAGTGAGTCAGAACCAGGAATACGATCATCCGAGATGAAGGAATACTCCTTTAGTTCTTCTCTGGCTGTAGATTCTAGTGAATCTAAGAAAGTGGAAAGTAGTGAAAACGCAAGTAATGAAACTAAGCCGGCTAAAGCAGCAAAAGTGAAAAAGCGTGAGTATAAATTAATCATACAAGATGACGCTAAGCCTTTATGCTATTACTCTCTTTGGAAAAACAATGTTTTTCTACAAACTGTTTTAATTGTTCACAAGACACTGTCTTCTAATTTGCCTCCCTATTTGAAAAGGAAACTTATGCCTCGAACATCAGTTAGGGAACGATGTACTAGGCAGGATGGCTTGCTTGAAATGCCAAGAGTGCGGTGTGAGATAGGTAAATAGGGGTTCTCATACTTTGGACCCCAGACATACAATACCCTCCCAAGAAATATGAAAATCATGTCATGTAATTCATTTAAGGCCAATTTAAAGCTAGTTTAGTTTCACTGTTTGTAATTATTGTGTACTTGTAAACTGTTTGTGACTTGAGTTGTCTTGAAAACCAGTTTTGGCTGAAGACCGCTTTAAATAAAGGCATTTTATTATTATTATACAGTATATAAAAGATGGAGGTTAACTTTTTATTGGAATGTGAAATTGTGTTAAAATTTGTGATTGACAAATGAAATGTGATTTTTACTATACCTACAATTATTTCATCGTCATTTACTAAAAGAGCCCAAATTCTATTTTCTAGTTGGTATCCTGCAGCAATGTTGGAGGGTAATATCAGATATTTTTGGACCATTTTATGGTGAATCTATATATATAATTCCGTAAGTCAAATTTTTGTAAAGAAATTGTGAGTGACTGGATGGCCGTAGAAGGATGGGAGGGGTCTTATTTTAAAGGTCTTGACGTGAATTTTGAGGGAAAACTATTCAAATTCCCCAAATTTTAATACAAAATTAGATATAACGTAAAATGTTTTCCATAAGAATAGCATTAGAAGTCATTTACTGCTGATTTCTGTTTACTTCAATACAGCTGATCGTGATTTATCATCAAGCCAGTAAGCAATATGAAATTTCTAGATTATTAATTTGCCAGTCAATTCTGCAATGTACTGTATACTATATAAAACCATGGGAAATTTGTTCTTCTAATTTGAAGGTTATTGCTATGTTGAAGGAATGTTTAACATGAAATAACCACATTGACTAAGTAATAAACTATTCAAGATAAAATGGAAATTTTCTGCCTTGTTTTGATTTAAAAACATATGTTAAAAATTTATGCTACACATTTTTTTATATTAACTAACATTTTTAATTTGAGATTATTGTAGTGTTTAATCAATATTTTGTATGAAATGGAATAACCTCAACGGCCACTCTTAGAAAACAACCTGGAAATAAAGACGAACTACGTTCGTATAGGCAATATTTTTGTTCATTAAGTTGTTCCTTTAAGTTAGTTCATTCAAAAGGTTCCAATGGGCAGAAAACATATGTTTTAGAGGACATTTTAACGAGGTACTGACTGTTGCTCCAAGAAAAAAATGTTATAATAATAGCCTAGCATGCACGGTAGTAAAGGGACTATCCATATATAACAGTAAAACCTAGAAGTAGTTTCCGTTTCTTAAAACTTACCAAAAATATGCATGTCAAAGATGCTAATGAAAAAGTAATTTCGTGATTGGTTTCGATAACTGGGTAATGAAACCCTAACCAGCAGCAAAATAGTTAGGAATCAGCGTTGATTAGGCCATATTTTGAAAGAATATGTGAAGTCAATCGCACTTTCTTAAGGAATGGCCACCACATAATCTTACACTAGGCTAATGGTAGTTTTTTTATGTTCATCAGAAACAAATTTAGCGTTAGGTTTTGTCAATGGGATGCCTATACTTTACACTAATTTTGTTAATTCTTTACAAAAGGAGCATGAAATTAAAAATAATAACTGGATCGGGGTGCTAATTTATTGGTTTTGACCAAGAATTTAGCTTATCTCAACACCTTTATTTGCCCTTCATATTTTACGAAGACAATTTCAAATATTTCAACCTAGGAAGCCTTTTTATCATCATTAACCAAAAGATTAAACCTACCATAATAAGCCAATATTTATTCACAAACATGCAATATTTATTCACAAACATGTTTGCTGTCTTTAGCAGAGTTAAACCAATGACTATTGGATACAGAAGTATTAATAGTTGTATTAATAGTCAAAGGTTAAACCTCTGAAGTAATTCAAATTATTTATTGAAAAAAACATCAACAAAAGCAAACAAAGACAAACAACAAACTATTTTTTACAAAAAAGATATGTTGTACTGGGATATCCATCCTGACACATGAATAATTTGATTCTGAGTTTGTTCAAATATTACAATAATTTGTTTTACATTTGTGATTTTTAGGGACTTATGTCCCTACAAGCCACTAGTAAAATATTTAATGCCATTCTGGCAACAGTAGTCAGTGTGTTGGTATATTGTGAAATATAAAGGAAAATTGAATTTTCTGTTATACTTTTAGCTCATTATATAACAAATTACATAGTGTGAAAATTTGTAATGCCTAATTTCTGAAGATAAAAATTCTCAACAAGAGCTTACAACCTAAAGAAACTGTGTTTCAAAATGAATCCCAACCCATTTGGTATAGGCTTAGCCTAATCTGATAAATTGCATTTACAGGTTATGTAATGAATAATTTCCCCTTAAATATATTAGCAATGATCAATATAAACTTAGGTTGTGCGAGTTCTTAAGTGTTAGGAGTATTTTTGAGCAAGTAATTTAGTACTGGACTTGACTCAAGCTTTTTTATAAAACTGGAAGAGTCGAGCTTTTTAATTAGTTTGCTGAAAGTACAGTCTAACCTTAATATAACGAACCTCGATACAACGAATTCCTTGATATAACGAATTTTTTAAATCCCCTAGAAATCTCCATAAGACACAATGTATATTTTACCTCTACATAACGAACAAACCATAACAACGACCTTGATTTAACGAAATTTTCATGATTTCGGCTAAAATAAGACACCTCAATATAGCTAATTCATCATTGTCAGAACCTCTACATTGCAAATTTAACCTCTGCATAACGAATTGTCTACGTCTTTCCCTCGATATAACAAATCCCCCATCCCATTATTGTTTTTGAAAAATCTGTTTCTTTATCAAATGAAATAGAAAGGTGACGTGATCGCTTGCGCTAACATTCGTCTGCTCCGTTCTACACATCTCTGTCTGCTGTCGCTGCGCACGCTATGTTGCAACTGAGAACTGATTTCATTCACATAGGACTGATGACGACGTAATGTTTAGTAAGCTGTGATTGGCGATTAGTAACTATGGTGAATTGTACAATTTTTGGATAAAAAAAAACCTAAGAAAGAATATAAAAACAAAACCAAAGAGAAAGAATAGCAACATCGTTATTTTAACATTCCTTTTTCGAGTGTTTTTATTACCGGTATCTTTAAGTTGGCTATGATTATACACTTTTATAATGACTTATCTAATAATTTATTGTTTTCAATACGATTTGTTTCAACTAGCAACACCAATGCTATAGTTAATGATTATTATTGACATTCCTCTGTTGTGATAAATCAGTACTGTACTAGTACAGTAGCCTACCGGCCTATCACGAGCAGTAGCTTACAAAACTTTCTACTACTGTTTTGTTTGTTCTTTACATGGTTTATTACTACGCAATAAAGTGTTTGGCTAGGTTTTAGGAGGGTTAGAACAAGCTGTGATTTTAAACTTACAGTTTTTTTACCTGTACCAAGGTCAATGCCATTTTCATGATTGCGCAATATTCAAGATCCCTCCCCTTTTTTATGCCGAATAATTTAGGTTCTACTGTACAATGTAAAAACTGTACTGTAAAGTATTGTAGCCTATGCTACTTTAATGTGTTTTAATGATGTCTAATCCCGACCTATATTGACCGACGCTGGTTCTGAACCTCGACTTAGCGAAATTCCTGCAAACATAACCTCTATATAACGAACCTCGTTTTAACGAAATCCTTGATATAACGAATATTTAGTTCGGTCCCTTCAGATTCGTTATACTGAGGTTGGACTGTATTTTTGTTTGTAAAGTATGGCAGAATCAATGCATGATCTTTATATTAGCGAGTTATTTCATAACTACCACTGTCAACAGAGTCAATTAATCTAAAAAAAAATACTGAAATAGTGTTATCGATATATTTAATACGCTAGGCATATTTTTGTCATAATTGTTTTGGAGTGGTGGTGCTACCGATCACCATGTTCGAGGTGTCGTTTGAAAGGTCTCAGCATGTAGTTTTGCCATCAAACAAAAAAACTTTGGAATTCCATCAGGGCTCTGCCCCAGTGGCCTTCAAAGTTTCCATATTATACTTAGGGAAAAATGTCTGTTTACATTTGAACAGATGAATACTTTTAAATTGACACTAATATTTAAAATACCCCCGCCGCAGCAAACCTGCCGACTAAGCGAATTTCCATTTGTCTGAATTGTTAAATATATTTTAATAACATTAGGTTTAACGAGTACCTAGGTTTGCTGCTACAAGGAAACTAATAAAGTGTGTTTTTGAGTAAAATATTGATAGCTTAGTACAAAATAAATAAATTTGCCAAGTTTGATCAAAATATATCCATAAACAAGCAAACTACAACATTTGACAATATTCTCCATAAGAATAACATGGGAATTTTAAATTTACAATTTTTTAAATTTTTTCCGTTACTAATAATCGAACAAAAATACTTTTATATACTAAATTATTTGTTTTTTTAAGCTCTTTAAAAAGGTCTAAAGAGAAATCGGGAAATTTTGTGTTTTGAGGGTCAAAAGTGAGAAAAACCAATTTTTACCCCATAAAACCCCCCAAAAAGCCCCATTCCCATGGTCCGATCGTGCTGGTTCGCGAACTCATTCAAGTTTATCCCGCTTTACACCTTTAAACCAAATTTCATCAAAATCGGACAAAAATTACTCAAGTTATCGCGTTCACGGACGTATATATATATATATATATATATATACACGGCCGCGCCCGGGAAGCCAGTCACATAAAATATACACTGGAAGTCAGTCAGTTGCACCCCCCAATATATTTTAAGACTATGATATATATATAATATA